ACACAGCAGACGTGATTTTTTTGGGGCGTGTGTGTGTGTGGTGTGTGTGTGTGGTTGGGGGGGGGGGGGGGGGGGGGGGGGGGGGGGGGGGGGGGTGGGGGGGGGGGGGGGGGGGGGGGGGGGGGGGGGGGGGGGGGGGGGGTGGGGGGGGGGGGGGTGGGGGGGGGGGGGGGGTGGGGGGGGGGGGGGGGGGGGGGGGGTGGGGGTGTGTGGTGGGGGGGGGGGGGGGGTGGGGGGGGGGGGGGGGGGGGGGGGGGGGGGGGGGGGGGGGGGGGGGGGGGGGGGGGGGGGGGGGGGGGGGGGGGGGGGGGGGGGGGGGGGGGGGGGGGGGGGGGGGGGGGGGGGGGGGGGGGGGGGGGGGGGGGGGGGGGGGGGGGGGAGGGGGGTTGGTGGTGGGGGGTGGGGGGGGGGGGGGGGGGGGGGGGGGGGGGGGGGGGGGGGGGGGGGGGGGGGGGGGGGGGGGGGGGGGGGGGGGGGGGGGGAGGAGGAGGAGGAGGAGGAGGGTGGTTGAGAAGGGGTGGGGGGTTTGGTTGAGAGGAGGGATGAGGATTAAATTAATTTTTATGGTGGAGGAATAGGGTGGTAGAGATAGGTGGGGGTTTGGTTGGAGGGTGTGAGGGGGGGTTTGTTGTAAGGCCTAATCAGTCGCAAAATGTGTATACAGCCCACGTAATTATCATCAGCAGGCTGACGCATCGAGGAAAACGTGAGCGGTGATGGATTGGCTTTTTCTCCGTTGACTGCGTACCTGTTCCGTTAACCAGTGCTATCATCCACTACAATGGAAGCTGCCGTTCAACTGCGTCTTAATTGTCATTGTTTGCAGCACTGGCTGACTGGGTTGTGCGGTCAAACGATACACCTGTGGATAGCCAGTGTGTGCTGAGGAGTTTCGGAGAGTGTAATATAGGGAAAAAGAGCATCAACAGTACGCCCGCACACTGTACCGATGCTTTGCTGCCATGTAACGATCACTAGTCGCGGGTGACCTAGGGATACTGTGAGGTCATCTGCGTCTACGCAGATTCGAATTGGCGGCATGTGGATTGATATCCGTAGAAGTTCAGCACATCCAAACTCAGTCAAACAGCCATTACACGCTAGAGAAAGTGTTGCACAGATAAAGTCGTTGGCAGTGTGCACTCTATCTGACCCCTGGTAGGGCTAGAACCCATAACCCGACTGCTATCGGTCCGTGATAAGAGTCATTGGGCTAGGGGGACGGTGACCACCGACCTGACTAAATTACTAGATGTGATAGAGAGCCGTTCAGTATCCACTTACTTGTATGCTGCTGTTGTGAAGAGGTCAGGGTAGCCCACTCACCAAAGCAGAAACTTAGTCAAGTCAACAAAGTGCTTAATGCACCCAGAACCGGTGAATATTCAACCGTAATACACAAGCTTTCAGCGATACAGCATGAAATTCGAAAAAACCGATCAATATTTGAAAAAGAATAATACCATCACAGCATAAACTGGTATGTTAATTCTTGGACACTTTGATTTGGTCTAGCAAAAATTGTGCTAGGTAGGGGATGATTGACGTATTATACGCTCCTGTACGAGCATATATGGATTGACACACATTCCGGCAATACACAATGAAGGGTGTGACTTGTGTCGGCAAGTACTGTTTATGCTAGCCTCAGGCAAGGACCAACATGAGTGGATACAAGTATATCAACGAACGTCAGCTTCGATACACCGCTGCATCTCGACAAGTGTTTTAACGGTCTGAAGTTTAGGCTAAAATCCTTGCTCAACATACTAGGAAAAATTACTGGTGAGCAGTACGTCTAGTGTGGCAGAACACAAGCAGCGACAAAGCGAAGTGTCAAATCATGGGGGACAAAGGAAGCTCGCAGGTGTGAGGCGTAGAACGACAACCTCCGGATTTTTGTGGACGCTTCTCTTAAATGGTCTGACAGACAAATCGTAGCTTAGCATAACACTCACATACTTTACCGATGTGGAAGGGTGCAACCTTTCGCCATCGATGTTGAGTTCCAGGCATCGCTGGAGAAGCTGTTGAGATCGATCGTCCCTATGCCATGAAAAAAGTACAGCATTGCATGTTGACACTTTGAGTGGCAGCTCGCAGGTTATTCACTGAAAGTTAAGATCGTTAAGGATATTTTGCTATCTGACAGGCAGTCATCGATTGATTGACGTCGAAGACGTCATCTGCGTAATTCAGCAAAGTTGCCTCTCCTGGGACCAGTATTGAGCTTACATAGTTGGAAAAGAGAAATGTTGACAGAATAGCACCCTGAAGAATCCTGGAGTTTGTGATTAGGGCGAGGAGCTTCTGCTCCCAAAACGAGTAACCTGGGTACAACCGGTAAAATAGTCACTCCAGATGAAAGATGGAAGGATGTATTCCAGCACCAAGTAGATCTTCAAGCAGTAGTTAGGGGTTTATGCAGCCGAATGCGTTGCTCCAGTCCAAAAAACAGACTCGAATGAACTTGATTCTATTGTCCAAGGATGACAGAACCGAGTGCACAAGAAACGCTACTGCGACTTGGGCTGGTCTCGAACTGCGGTAGACAAATTGAAGAGGATCATTTGAGTTCTGTTGCATCAGCATCCTCAAGAGTGATCTTTTCGAACACCATTAAGGCTACTGAAGTACAAGTAATAGGTTGATATTTGCTTGAACTCTCTAGCAGTCAGCAATTTAAGGTTGCTGAATGCATAATGTGCATAAAGTAGGCGGAGCTTTGGCAAGAGAGTTAGCACATTTCATGAGGACAACTGGAGACAGACTGTATGGACCACTTGCTATCCCTGAGTGAAGCTGTTTCAGGAACTTAGGTACAGTGCCGCTGTCGACAGGGGGCAATTAAGTCTGGGCAAAGGATGATTCAGAGATCGGATTGTTATAGCAGTTGCAGAAGTCATGGTTCAGTTTATCCACATCTACATCAGAGGTTAATGTACGTCGAGTAGACCCACTTAGTTGTTTTAACATCCTCCAGATTTCACGGCAGCTACTATTCCCTAGTACAGACGAAACGTACACGTAGAGACGGCGCAACTGCTCCTTTAGAAGAACAAATAGTGATGTAACTCAAGTTTTCTCATTTGAGAGCTTTTTCCTTATGGCTACGTAGCAGGTTTAGATGAGGGGAAGAGAAGCTGTTCGCATGGATGAACAGTTTCGCACGGACAATAAATAACGAAACAAAAGTTCAGGTGACTTGTCAACTGATAGCAATACGTAGATACATCAGTGACTAAATATAAACTGGTCGATGGATAATAGGGTTTCTCGCAGTCGGTCAATATTCTGTGCGGAAAACTTCCTCCTTGCAGTCGTTGCAACGGGTAGTTATCTTATAGTTTGTCAGAAAATAGATCACAGGACATAATTGAATTTTTGTGTGATCAGAGCTACCTAATGGCGCCTTTTTACAAACGGAGAACAGCTTTAGGTTGTTAACAAATACTAGATCAACAGTCGCATCTGATCTAGTGGGGCAATTTACGATGTTTTGTGGTCAAAAACTTGTGAGAAAAGCGGTATCAAATCGGGTAATCTCACCAGCAAAAATACCTAGCGAACAATCGATATGTGCTATTACAGACACAGTTAACGCATTGTAAAATGCCTCTACCTCAGGTTTCGGACAATTTGGAGGAAATATAGATGTTAGTCAGTAAGATTGAGCTATCGCCACTGATACAGCTCGGCTTCCATCTCAGAACTAAGCAAATAATGCATTGAGAAGAGAAGCAAAACAAAACATTCGTGGATGCGCATCAGAAAGTATCGGTGTTGATGATGACTCCACCGCCACGGTTACGGGAGGTGCAAGGGTGGTCGTTCCCATGACATTTGAACCGTTCTACCGCCACAACTGCGTCATCCACATCTTCTTGAAGCCGTCTCTTGTAGTAAAATGCTGCCTAGCTGTGAATATTCTCGGGAGTTGAGTTCATCCATTTTCCCTAAAAGCAATGGATATTTGAAGCAAGATAAATATCCTCATGGTTCTCAACGTTTTCCTTCGAAAAGCAACCTTCCATCCAGCACGATGTTTTCTTGCACTATTACTGCGCTTCTTGTGAATTCGTTTCAGTTTGTTCCTTAGAACGTGGACATTGGGAAAGGCACAGTTTGTGAGCGCGGAAACACAACGATTTCAAAATATTGCGCTTATAAGTCAAGAGAATAAAAATTGTAGCCAAATAAAAAGTAGTGAAAAATGATGGTTGGTGTGACGCCAAAAGTGTGTTAGAATTTCCACAGAAAGGAATCGTAGAGCACGGCCAAGTTTGAAGGTCCCGCCATATCACTTTATTGGACAAAACTTAAGCGGACTAGTAACTCGTGGCATTACAGACAGTTTGGTTTACGTACCGATTACTAGGGAGTAGTAGGGGGGTTGAATTGTAAATCGGATGAACTTCGACTTATTTCAGACAGTTCGTCGAAGTTCCCTCTCAATCATTTAGGCTCCCACATGTCTGGAAAAGAACCAGGCAGGCGTTGTGCTTAGACACCTGTCGGATTCCGAGCACATGGGTTCCGGATGTCATTAGCTTGGGCCAATAAGCCATGGGTGACGGCGGCGGACCTGCACTGTCATACTATTCAAGTCCCCTTGTTATCTCTGGAGTACAAAGCAACAAACTTATCCTTTCGGGCACCGGCTGAATGCGAGATCGCATATACCATAAGATATTGGATAGGCCCGCACAGAGGCGGGAAGAAGTTAGTCAACGTCCTTGGCTGGGGACATATTACGCTGTCATGCATCTTCATGCGTGTTTCGGAGGTTGTAATGGACTTCTTTTCTGAGCTAATGCAAAGTGAGCGGACAGAGCTGCCGCACAGCCAGTTTAAAATATTCGATAGAAAGGCCAGTTTGAGAAAAACGGTGTAATTTATAGGGTAGTTCTCTGTTGGCTAGTCTTGGAGGGAAAGATCTGTACGGGAAGTGAAATCTCCCAGGAAAACTCACTATTTCAATAGAAAAACAAGTTGAACTAATAATGGATAACTGAAACATCGAGTCGTTTCAGGAACATTCGCGCCTATATGACGTGGGCACTAACGTCACTAGCCAGCGGAACTGAATTACCCATCAGGACAGCTGACCTACCTGTCCTGAAACGCAAATATTCCTGGAATGGCCAACACATATCCACTAATTTTTTTTACATTACTTGTATCCGTTTCGGTAGCTACCTCTACAACAAGAGTATGGCATCCGAGTGTTGACTTATGATTTGGACTGGGAGTCGGGATCTGGCAGTGAACGAGTTCGGTTGAATCGGAATCGCATACCAAGAGCCAAATCATAATAAGATCTATCAAGGTGTTAGCCGCATGGTCTTTACCCCGAAACCGTTTAAATGCATCATACATCAATGAGTCATTGGTACTTGGAGAAGGAAACCAGTGAGCACAAAGTTGGCGTCCGTCAGTGCACTACACAGATATACATACAGAGAAACGCCAAACTCTAACTGTTTGGTGACCTTTAGATTTAGCCTAATG